ATAAAATAAAATAAAATAAAATAAAATAAAATAAAATAAACAAAGCAGTTTTACCTATCTCCTTTTTCATCAGCAGTGTAAGAGAGTTTCTTGCCACTCTTGGTATAATCAGTTAATCAGTCCTTTTAACTTGAGCCATCCTTGTGGGGTTGCTGTGGCAGCTCACATTTTAAACCTACATTCACTTGATGATGTATGCCTCTGAGCTCTTTTCTGTGTGCTTATTGCCCCTTGAATTATCCTCTTGTGAAGTAACTTTTTTGTCCTTTTTTAAAATTAGGTTATCTTTTCCTTACTGATTTGTAACTGACCGAGATACTTAAAGAGATCCTTACACAAGCATTTGCCCCCTCCACATTTGCTTTGTTTATGCGTTTGTTCCAATCTCTCAGGCCCCAGGACTCCCCCAGAAGAGCCCAGTGATGTGGACTCCCAGAAATCATTAAGCCTGCAGGGAACAGGGTGTATGTATAGGGATGCTGGGAACCCCTTTAACTAGGGTTGGTTTTGTTTTCGTTCCAGTTAATTTCTAGGGCTTCCTCCTCAATGCTCCAGCCTCCTTAGTGTTAGGTAACACCAAAGATGAACATCTTTGCCTCTCAGGCTAAGTTTTTCAGGCCTGGGGAAGAGGTAGGTTAGTTACAGAGGAGACATGAACAGAGCAGACAGCCCTTACCTCAGAGCAACTCTCAGAGTCCAGGCTCCACACAGAGCAAAGGACGCAACTACAGAGTTAAACACATGCTCCTTTTTCATTCCTACCCCCTTTGCGGGCTTTAGGTGTTGGCAAAATGTGATAGTCTCTACGGGAGGAACTCTTTCAAGTGCGGCCCTAGGGCAGTACATCAGGATCACCTGGGAACTTGTTCGAAGTACAGGTTCTCAGGCCCTGCCTAGGATGTACCGAGTCAGAAGCCCTGAGCCAGGGCCCTCCAGGTGTAGATTCTGGTGCATGTAGGGAGTATTTGTTCAGCCTGCCTCCCACATCAGCACCTGTCATGGTTCTGCCCTGGAAGCCCCTAGGGATGGCTCTGCTTGAGGCTCTGCAGAGCTAATTTCCTGGTCCCGGGCACAGCAGTAATAGGACAGCCCTGGGCTCCTCAACCGTGGGTCACAAATCGAACAGTGCTGGAGAGGTGTTTTTCGCTTCTTTCTTTGCTTTTTTTTCATGGTGATGTCTAAGCTATGGCTCAAATGGACTAAATCAGAATCTCTGGTGTTAGAACCAACGCATTGTCTATATGATTCGAATTATGTGGTTTGAATTATTTTTGGTACCGGAGATCAAAGTTGGGTCCTGGTGCTTATGAGTCAGGCTCCGTGAATTTTTATATGAGTAGACTGCATGTTTTTGAGCAGTTTGAATTTTACAGAAAAAAAATGAGTGCAAACTACAAATGATTCTTATGCACCTCTTCATACCCTCCTCCCAGGTTCCCTTTCTTTAACATCTGGCATTAATACAGTACATGCACTATCATTGATAAATCAATTGATATATTATTGTTAATTAAAAACCTATAGTTCACATGAGAGTTCACTCTGTGTTGTAAATTCTGTGGGCTTTGAACAAAGCCTAATGTCGCATATCCACTGTTAGGATGTCATGCACAATACTTTCACTGCCCTGAAGTCCCCAGCATGCCAGCTCTTCATCCTCCCCAAACCTGGCAATTACCAACCTTCTACTGTCTCTGTAGTTTTATCTTTTCCAGAATGTCATATAGTTGGAATCATAGAAACTTTAAAAATGTGTGTCAGCGTGATAGGCAAAATTTATATTTTTATTTTTATTTTTATGTTACGAGTTAATATTTATTAAGATTGAACAGATTTCCACTGTTTATGCACCATGTATATCTGTCTACTTTGCAGTGAGCTGTGAGTTAGTGTTGGTTTTTTTTGTTTTGTTTTGTTTTTGTCGGGGACTCAGGCTTTTTAAAACTGACTTATGAGAGCTCTTTGTATTTGAGAAATTAGCCCTTTCCATATCATACATGTTGCAAATGTTTTTCCAATTTTTTTAATGTGTCTTTCACTTTGTGTAGATGTTTTTTGCTATGTGTTGCATCTTTGTTATTGTCAAATGTACCTACCTTTTATTTTATAGTTGCTAGGCAGCAGCTACTTTTCAAGTTTCAAGTTCCAAGGATTATTGTGCATAAAGGACCCTTGGGTGAGAATCTTTGTTGTGTGAGGTGGAGATATGCTGGGAATAGAGAGGAAGCTTTATGAAGTGTTTATAAATGACTCAAAAGCTAAGCAAAATTGAGTTAGACAAACAAGGAATTTATTGACTTGTAAATGGAAAAGACTGAGCCCAGCCAGATCCAGGGAGTCAAAACACATCATGGGAACAGTCCCTGCCTCTAGTTTTTCTTGATGTCAGCTTCTCTCCCAAGCAAAGGAAGCACATTTGACATGGTGTCAAAGGTCTCCAGCCTCAGTTTACACTTTTTCTTACATCATGTAGTTCCTACAGAAACTTCTTCCCACTTGTTCTAGCAAAAGTCTTGGGTTGGGTTTCACTGAATGGATTTCAGTTAAGCACTCATTCCTGGGCCAAATCCTGTAATAAAATATGTTGATTAGCCAGGCCTGGGGTTATGGTCCAGCCCCTGGGGCAAGGACAAGGGCTAGCCAGCTCTATCAGAACACAAAGATTGGTGATACCCCAGAAGAAAAGAGTCCTTATTATCCAGGTAGAGGAAATGGATAGAAGATAGGTCTACTCCTTCTCTGGGCAGAGATGCAGGTAGGTGCAGATCCTCTAGCCAGTTGCTGATGTTGTCCTTCTTGCCCTCAGAACCCCAGGCTGGAGAAGCCCGTGCTGCTCTCAGAGTTTTCTACCAAGATCTCACGGGGTGAACTGGATGGGCCCATTGAGAACGGCCTCCGGGCTCCGGTCAGTGCCTACCAGTATGCACTGTCCAACGGTGATGTCTGGAAGGTGCAAGAGGTGCCTGACTACAGCATGGCCTACAGCAGCCCTGGCATGGCCGACACCACCCAGCCCTGGAGCGGCTTCAAGGAGCAGAGCCCCCAAACGCTGCTGGAGCTGAAGCGGCAGCGGGCTGCAGCCAAGCTGCTCAGCCACCCCTTCCTGAGCACCCACCTGGGCAGCAGCATGGCCAGGTCAGGGGAGAGCAGCAGTGAAGGCAAGGCACCCTTGATTGGAGGCAGAACTTCACCCTACAGCAGCAACGGGACCTCGGTGTATTACACGGTCACCAGTGGGGATCCCCCACTCTTAAAATTCAAAGCCCCCATAGAGGAGATGGAGGAGAAGGTCCATGGCTGCTGCCGTATCTCCTAGTCTCCTTGTATGGAAGAGAGAGATGCCTTGGGAAGGGCCCCTGGAATCCAGGCCAGCCCAACAGCCCTGGCCGGGGAGGCATCAGAGGGCAGCTGGGGAGAGGTGGGCTCTGCTTTCCAGAGGAATGCTGACCCCACTTCCCACCCAGCTGTCCATAGCAGCCCCATCCCCCTTGGTTTTGCTTCCTGCTGCATTGTCTGCCATTGGAAACCTAGTGGCCCTCACTCATTCCGCTGACCTATTTGGGGAGGGCAGGCTTGGGATCCTGGTTCTGTTCTGGTAAACACTTCTTGGGACCAGTACTCCCATGTCACACACACACACACACACACACACACACACACACACACACACTCATAGTCATGGCACACATGTAGGGATGACACATACCGGGCTTATCTTGTAGGAAGCAGATAGGCTGAAAATGTGTGGGCTATTTCCAAAGGGAGTGAGGTGAAGAAATCTTAGCACCTCTGCCATGTGGCTTAAACAGGGGAGGGGAGGGGCTTGCTCAGTTGAGACCTACAGTCTTGCTTAGAGTCACACCAGAATGTGGGCCACCATCCACATCTGGTAGGTCCTCTGTCCAGAGGAGCCAGCAATCCCTGTGAATTAGATGCAACGTGCACGGGCCTGGCCTTGCAGCTTTGCTAAGAGCTTCCTTCCTGCCCCACATCAGGAGACAGGAGGACAAAAAACATAGAGGTAGGGGAGGGGTGCGGCAAAGTTGGTATTTCCAAAAGTTCATTTGATAAAACCATTCTTTTAGGTTGTAAACTCCAGGTGGGAGGAAACTAAATTTGCCTTCTCCCTTGATGGTGTCATATCAGGTTCTACTGGCTGGTGTTGGAAAAAATGAAGCTCAGTGAGGAGCTTCTGCTGGAGGCTTTTTCCAGGGAAAGGAGGAAGTTCACATCTGAGAACATCACTGGTTAGCAGTGTCACCGCCCAGTGGCCTGGCTAGTCTTTGCCATATGCAGGCTATTTTGGTCCAGTCCATCTCTGCCAGCCCTCCTTAGACTGAGCCGTCTCAGTGAGTAGTTGGAGCCACCTGCACCCACCCCTCCACCTCTCGCATTTCTTGTCAGTTGTGTGCAGAGTGAATGCTCAGAACCCCTAGCCCAGCTTTGCTTTTCTGGAATACTTGTGGAGACTAGCTTGCCAGTTGGCCCTCAGAAGTTCCTGCCTGGCCCCAGGGCTCCCAGGCTGGTGTTTTGATGCCCCAAGGCTGCAAATCCAGAGTGCCCATGGCCAGCACCCTATACTGCATCAAGGAGAGCAGGGCTGAAGGTAGGTCTCACCCTAGCCCTTCATTTCTGTAACTCCAGTCTCCCTGATGCTGGGGAGGGCAGACTTCTGCCACCTCACTGTTTTATTATTTTATGAGCTCCTTTGAAATTGTTCATGCAGTGGGCACTGTCCACAGGCTCAGCCAAATCTTTAAGCTGCAGGTTTGTTCCCTACTCCATGCTCCTTTAATTTGTTCTAAAACTACCTCCTTAGATTTCTGAAGGGCCCTTTAGGTCCAGATTCTGAGGTGAGGAATGGATCTGGATGCCGTTTAACCTGCATCTTTCTGAGCCTATGAGAAATTCTCCCTGAGTGGCACCTGGACTAGGGTGAGCTGGGGCTGGAGGAGTCCCACTTGTGCCACAGCCCTAGTAATGGGGTTTGCTGTTTGTCAGCCTCAGACCCCTACTGTGGCCTTCTATGTCTCCCATATTTCAGAGGAAGCAGGACCTCAAGGGGCCTGGCTGATGCTTTGCCAAGAGTAGGGCTAGGCCAGAGAATACCCATGGTGGCTGCTGGGCTCACAGCGGGTCTCCCAGCACCAGGCCACAACACCCCAGCTGCAGAGACTGAAGACAGGTGTACATAGCACCCGCAGCATCCCTGAGGCCTGGGGTGGGTCCTCCATCATCTCAGCCTATGGCTGAAGCAATGGATGCTCCAAAACACATAGGTTTGGCTTTAAAAGTCTTCAGCCCTGAGTGGTGCTGAAATGCCTCAGCAGCTGACTAGCTACAAGGTGAGAAGTGCTGAGGGCAGCCACATGCTCTCAGAAGACAGTGGTGCAGGTTTCTGGTCCTTTTGCTCAGGCCAGCCTCCAGGCCACTCCTTCTATCCCCTTCTCCCTGCCTCCTGGGCCTTTACTCCCCACTCAGAAAGCTGAGAATCCCAGCTGACACCTCTACCCCAGGAAATGGCATCAGAGGTGACTCCCAGGCTTTTTAGGTTGTTTTCCATAAGGAAGAAGTGTTCCCTGGTGGGATTTCAGGCCCCTGGGAGTCTTCCCTGTAGGTCTCTTGAGTACTGAGAGGCAGGTTGGGGAACCTCCCATGAATGAGCCAGAGTCATCTATTTATTCACTCATAACTTACTAACTGCAACACACCAAGTGCTATATTAGGTTCTACAGATAAAGGAGGAACAGGACACGGTGAGGACTGGTCTTTCTAGTTTTCATTCCTTGAGGACTATGGGCATCAGCAGCCCTGCCCAGTTCACCGGAACAGACCACCATTTCAGGTCCCGGAATCATTAGAGTGTGAATCCCTTTATTTGGGAAACAGCTTCATGACTACCCATGGATAACATTTGCCATGAAGTGCAGATGCTGGATCTTGAGCTCCAGGCAGACCCCATCCCAGGTTCATGTGGAACCTTCAGGGACGGCTGCCCTCAGGCCTGTTATCTCTGGGGAACAATATAATAGCAGTCCAGTATCACTGTGTAGATGAATAAGGAGTCTGCCATTTGCTGCCAAATGCATCTCTGGTTCTTAAAATTCGTTGTCTTTTGCTTGTTTTTGCTCTTTATCACATAGTCCCCTCCCCCCACAGCACCCCACGCACGCATCAGGGGATACTGGGGGAGAAAGCAGCTGCTTTTAACATTAGGCCTTTCCCCACGAGCCAACCTCTCTCCCTTGTAGGTGTGGATCAAGGAGCTGGGAGAAGCTTGGCGAGGCCAACCGGATGCCCAGCTCTTGCTGAGACCTAGTCTGGTGGTAATTCCTGACAGACTGATGGAGGCCATTTCCAAAGCAGGTGCCATAATGCTCAGTATAAGATCTGGTCCTTGCTTCCACCTTATGCCTCAAATAATTGAAAATTGGTGGCTATCATCAGATTGTGAGTTTCTGGCTAGTAGCTCAGGGAATCTGAATGAACCCTAGGCCCAGGGCAACTGAAAACTTTAGAATATAATTCTCCATCAAATATGCAGCATTGATAAAAGTACTCTGTACTGTTTGATCAATTTCAATTGATCGATTTCCAAGAGGCTTCAAAAAGTTAAGCAGGGTGTGGCCTCTGTCTTGGTCCACCAATTTGCTAGCTTTGTAGTAGTATGAGACTCTTGGGTCTTCCTGTCAGACACTGATCCTGGGTTCTCTCTCCCAGCTACTCTCCCAGAGCAAGATGTGGGGATATTTTCCAGAAAGGGGCTCCTAATCAGATGCCCAGAAGGACTGCACCTAACCATTGTTATTTGTAGCCTGGGACAGCTTCCCCTCCCCCAGCACACAGAAGAGCAAAGGGTCACATGGTCATTAGGCAGCTCCGCAGAAGTGACTCCCTTTGCCAGAAGCTATAGCCCTCTCCTCCCCAGGAGTTTCTTTGGCCAGAGGGGTTCTTCCCATGGGCGTTGCAAGTGCCACCATGCGGGGCCTGGCTCTGCACACCTAGGAAAGTCTGCAGACCCCCAGTCCCCCCGCAATAATTCACCAGACCAGAAGCCACTGATGTACAGAGAACACTTAAGAAAAATGTATTTTATGTGAAAAAAAGTTAAAACTCTGTATACTGTATCAGCAGCTTTGTGTAAAAATGGCAATCAAGAGAGTCTAATATATTTAAAACTTTTTTAAAAAAAAATCCTCATGGATCTTTGATATTGTATTGAAGTAACTTCCAGGTAGCTCCTTGCTGCACGGCAGTGGTGGGCATGTCCAAGATAGGCTTTGGCCATGTCTCAAAGGGGCATGTGTCCCTGGAGTTGCTTCCAGCTGCCAAGGCCTGTGATGGAATTCGCTGTTCAAGTTTTTAATTAAAATTATTAAATTCCTTTTAATAACACCTGCCAGTGTGACTGTGTTTATTGCTCTGAGCTCAGTTGAATGGTGATCACTTGAATTTGTAAAAAGGTGGGGCTCAGGATGGAGGGTGGGTCCTTGCCTTCACCATACTGGGCTCTGCCGGATGGCCACTGAAGCAGAGGGAGCTCTGGAGGCCCAGACATGTGGCTGATGTGTTCCTGGACTGGGAGATGGTAAAAACGTGATAGGTAGTTGGGAAGAAAAAAAACAGGTGAGTGGGAATGAATTTCATTCTGTCAAATATTCATTTTTAAACACTATGAGGCCCAACAATAGCATATCAAGGTGTGGTCAAAATATACAGTGACTATTTAAATTTAAGACATGATTACAGTAAGACATATTGCCATGAATCTCCCTCAAGATACTCCTCCTTGCTTCAACTCACGTCCTATAATTCTTGTTGCTTTCTGACCCATTCAGGAAATCCTCTTTTATGAGCGTCCTTACAAAGTATGATAAAAAAATATGGTGAAGGCTGCTGCAGCGTGCCATACAATGGAAAGGCAGGCTTTAAAAATATTATGGCTCTCAGCCGGGCATGGTGGTGCATGCCTGTAATCCCAGCACTCGGGAGGCTGAAGCAAAAGGATCACTGTGAGTTAGAGACCACCCTGGGCTACATAATGAGTTCCAGGTCAGTCTCAACTACACAGTGAGACCCTGTCTCAAAAAAACAACATAAAAAATTATGGTTCTCCACAGCGACAGCTGTGCTCCCATGTGTATAGCGGCACAGTTCCTAACAGCTAAAACTTGCCCAGTTGCCCACCAAATAGTGACTGGATAAAGAAGATGTGTTTTGTTGTTATTGTTGTTGTTTTTAATAAAATGGAGTACTACTTACCCATAAAGAATGAGGCACTAGGGCTAGGGATTTAGCTCAGTGGTGTTACTGCCTGCCTTGCAAGCACAAGGTCCTGAGTTCGATTCCCAGCACAAAGAAAAAAGAAATGAGATATTTGTAGCTAAATGGGTGCACATTAAGGCCATACTTTTAAGTGAAATAATAGGACACGTGCAAATACCATTATAGTTGTCTGCTGTGAGAAACTGAAAGTGTAAATGAGGATTAAAATATACAATATATAATGTGAAAAGGGAAGAAAAGGTCCAAAGGGGAAGGAAAAGTGGGAGGGGAAAGGAATAAACATGAGAAAAGGAAAAAACATAAACAAAATCTCTGTAAATGGGGTAGAGGGTTTGAAGGGGAGTAGGAGAATTGGGAAAAAATAACCAAGTTGTATCATGTAAATGTACAAATCCTCAACAATGAATGTCATGATACTGAGTACCTAAAGTGTACCAAATAAACTTAATGAATTAAAAAGAGAGAAGGGAAGATATAAGAGCCAGACCTAAAAGAACAGATTAGGACCTGGTGCCCTGGTGTGTGTTTAGAACCTGAGAATACAGAAAGAAAAGAGCTGTGATCGATCCCACAGCCGTGGTGATTTGAAGTCACCATAGAGAACTCCCTGAAGCACGGGTGATGATGGGAGAAGCAGGACCAGCTTTGGGAGCGTGGTCTGCAGCTGTACAGATAGCCATGCTGAGAGGAGCCCTAGGCCTGGAGGTTTTGTTGTCACGATCTGGAAATGTTTAATAATTTTTAAGCAAGGCGTCCTGCATTTTCACTCAGTACTGGACCTACAAATTATGTAGTGATCCTACATGAGCCCAACAAACCATCAAATCACACACACGTAAAATATTATGGTGTGTCCTCATCTACCTTGTTCATCGTGCACCTTCTGGCTCTTCCTCAAAGTCCAGGCGCTCGTGAGAGAGAAATGTTCTGAACTGATTCAGGATATTGAGGTAGCCACAACAGAGCAACTAAAGACATGAAAGAAAATTTCATAACTGCTTCAGAAAGTGGCAGGAACAGTGGGATAAATATGTTCAAAGCAAAGGGGAGTAT